CGCTGGGACAATATGTTTATTCGCCTGACGTTTCGATATCCTTCGCGGATTCTTCATGAGAGACATGAGTAGCAGAAAGGTTTTAATTATTTTTGGTACCGTAAAACGTTTTTTGTTTACTAGATAAACGGGTTCTCACATTTTTCTGGTGCCGCATACACCTCACTATTTTCGTAAAGTTTTTACTGATTTTCTTTATTTCCGTACCATTTCGCTTTCATAGATTCTTTTTGTATCGTTTCTCGTTTGACGGTTTCTCTGATTACTATTTTTCAAGCTATCAGTAACTAGAGTTATTGTATCTCCATATCTTCTACCGTGTCAGATCGGGACTGAAAGTCTGATGAATTCGACAGGATCGATTTTGCCTATTTAGTAGAAGACGTTGCGGCTTCTTCACACTTTCAGAACACACCTCAGTTTCCGGATTATAGTTCCGAACCACGACATTCTAACCCTTTCTTACCAGATAGGACCGTGCACACTAACTCGTTCGTAGAACCCTATCATCCGACACCTCTCCTTCCGGTCAACACAGCTCATCGGAGTGGTAGCGTGGTATCAACCCGCCCGCCTCTCCGCCGTTCGGCTTCTACAAACTCAGCAACCAGGTTTAGAGAAAATCAGAGAGCCATTTGCTTGGGTCTAGTTTTTACGAAGGATTTGTCTAACATCGACGAAATTTATTCCAGTGCACATATCGGTAAGAATGACCCCACCATGCTACTAAGTGCTTACGCGCTCTATTCTCAACGAAAGAAGAGAAAGAAAAGCCAGTGAAGTATATGTAAGGCCGATTGAACACAATGAACAATTTAATACTGTCTATAGACTGGGACTGCTTGCTCAAGGGGGATGCAGAGGATGTCTAGAGATCGTTTAAGCCGACTTCAATAGACCTAATTGAGCACTGTTGTCCCCTGAAGAAATGCACAACGATTAGTCGTCCTGTCTGGTTGAGAAGAGAACTCAACAGACAGTGAAAGAAGAAAAATAAGAAGTGGAAGATATTCAAGAAAAATGAGGCCTAAGAACAGTTCGAAGCATTGCGTAGTCAACGAAATGCGGTCAAAAATTGATTCAAAAGATGAAGAAGAGCTATGAATCCAGAATAATTCCGCAGGCTGAAAATAAGCCCAACATTGTATGCCACTATCTTAATACAACAGTCGCCGGTTATTAAGCCCACGGCTAATAAACCCAGCCGCATATTAAGCCCAAATCAGCTTGGGACGGAATTTTACATAGCATCCGCCGGCTAATAAGCCCAGTCGCCGGCTACAAAGCCCAGTTTGCCAACATGATAGCCGCGTATTAAGCCCAAATCAGCTTGGGACGGAATTTTACATAGCAAAATTCCCAAGTCAGCTTGGGACGGAATTTTACATAGCAAAATCCGCGCCTATTAAGCCCAAATCAGCTTGGGACGGAATTTTATATAGTAAAATCCGCATGCTAATCAGCTCAGTCGCCGGCTACAAAGCCCAGTTTGCCAACAGGATAGAGTGAGATT